AAAGAATGTGGCTTTCAGAAGTATATCCTGCTCTGTTAGATAAAATGAGACCATAGTAAATCCACTTAACCCCTTTTACCAGAATAAGACCGACGTTATCCCTCACATCCTGAAAAGACTGGATGTCTACAGTAACTACTGCTACATTTCCAGTTTGTCTTTCATTTGCAATACTTTTAAGGAGCAGTTGCTATTAAAAATGCACTCCTATTTAATTCAAAAATAACCTCTACCAACAATTACAGTCCATTTCCCATAGTTTTTCCTCTTTCCATTGACGGCTCCAAAGTCTTTCCCTCACCCCAAGTTAAGAGTCAGGGTGTTCTTCCTGTTAAATCCCAATCTTCTATGTCTCACGTTAATAATACGACTCAGTGTGCAAATTTTTATCAACCCAACACATGTATCCACCTTGCTGTTCCCTCTGCTTGCCTCAGCACCATGAGGAGCAGAGCTTTCTGCTGCTCTGCTCCCAAACTTTGGAACTTCCTCCCACCAGACATCTGGAGCGTTGATATTCTTCCCTGTTTAAATCCAGATTACAACCCACCTGTTAGGCTGCTTTCTCCTTCTGATTGTTGTTTTAACTTTCATTTGTAAAGCGACATTTTGTATCATGAATAGGGTTTGTAAATAAACTGTATTGCTATATAAAAAAATAATAATAATAATTTAATTTCACTGAAACAGAAACCGTTGTGTTGCAGGATGAGCTTTTTTTTTTTTTTTTTCTCAGAACAACCCTTTTCACTGTTAGTGATGTGAGAGCATGAAATTCAAATCGTTCCTGATGATTCAGATCCAAAGACTTTCCGTTCATGTCTCGCTTAAACGTTTTACAAGAAATATTTTCACAATAATCTCATATGATACAAGCTGTTTGCTGACTTCAGCTGCAGTCAGGCTTTCTCCAGAATCACACCAGAGAGCGATAATGTGACCATATTTTATACTCGGTCAGATGCTGAACTGGTGACGCTGATCTAAGTCACCCACATCAAATGTGAGATTGTATGAATCATGAGCGCTGGTAGGTCTGAAGCATGGGAAACTCCGTTCTCCTTCATGTACATCTTTGCCTCGTTGCTGTGTGTACGTACAACGCTCTTAAAAACGGATTTGATTCCTTTCGGATTTAGCATTAAAAATGAAGAGTTTTTTTTTTTTTTTTTTTAAGTCTGAACTGAAATGTATTAAAAAAGCATGACTTTAACCAAGCTTTTCCCATCGTGAAAACCCTTCACGTTGATATCTGACAGTGTATATTGTCCGATAAACATCTTAGGAAGGGATATTACCGTGGACTGCCAAAAAATGCTTCTGAATATGCTGTAATTTTATTAAGAATAGTTTTGAGAGATGTTAGTGTTGAGTATTAAAAACTTACAAGAGAAAGGTTTTAGTTAGACTGTTTCTTTGCTGTTTTAATTCACTCTGTTTAACAACTAGTTGTTTGCATCAAACATTTGAGAGAAAAGTCTTAAACCCATAAATTGGGTTTCCAAAGACTTTTAGAAGCCATAATATTTCAGCTGGTGAAATATTTTACAGATCATCTAAATTATTAGCTCTGAATCCGGTGAAGCGTTTTGATGCTTGGAGTTGGGCGAGGCAAAGCATTTTACTTGTGCAGCACAAGGCGATTCAAAGAGTTTTACATGATTAAAGGAAAAAATAAAACAACAAACAAGCAAAAACATGACATTGCAACTGTAAAGTAAAGGAAAATGATGACAGGTTGAAAAACATACTTCGGTTTATAGTGTTCCAGTAAATAATCGAATGCACCTCGAAACAAATGGATCTTAACTTTGGTTTAAAAGGAACTCAGCGTTTCAGCATTTCTGTAGATTTCTGAAACTTTGCTAAGTTCACTGGAGAAACTAAATGCTGCTTATTTAATGTTTGGGTCCTGTTGAGGCATTTAGGCCTGTGATGCTAGAAATGATCTGCAGTCGATAGAAGGCCGGCTTTGTTATCGTCTTTGTGTGTCTCTGGATGATCAGACCCGAGTCTATCACAACACCCCACATCCAGTAAGAAACACAATACATTTCAGGAAGAAATTCATTCAGGTAATAAATTAGTTCTGTGCACAAAGCTCAATGTTTTTGACTCAAATTATTATTACTTTTCTCTACAATGCTTCACTGCATTCTTAAGGCATGAAAACGAATCCTCTGGAGTTCATCACAGAGGTAAACAGAAAGAACCAGAGACAGAAAGCCGGGATTTTGAAATGTTTTGTCAAAAAGCGAGAGGGTGAGCTTGATAAGGTCAGAAAGCTCCGTAAAGAAAAAATAGGTTTAAAGAGAAGGGCAAGTGTCTGACAAAATGTGTACTGACGCAGAGAGACAGGCGTAGGAATAGGTGGAGACATGGAGAAGAAGAGAAGAGAAAAGATGAGAAGTGAATGAAGACAGAGAGGAGGCCCTGTCTGTGTCCTAAGAAGATTAGATGGCATGGAGAGAGAGGGGGGAAAGATGTCATGCTAATGACAGAAAAAAAGAAAAACACACAAACATCTTCGGTTTCGCACGGATAAGTTTCTGGGTGGGAAACAGTTTGAACTCGGTAGCTTCACACAGACCGCACTAATTAAAAACTGAACCTCAAAGGCATCGCTTTCTTCCTTTATTTCTCTGCAAATCACCGCCGTCGAAGTCGGCGAGCGCCGGCCCCGGCACGACGAGGGAGGGAGAGGGGACAACATGGCTGCACATTGGCTGCAGCGCTGTGGAATCATCTGGGTGTGAGTCAGACGCCTGCTGCCTCGCTCCCCGGGGGAGGGAAAGGTCCAGGGTCATTATGACAAAGAAAGTGAACTCAAACCAGTGCTGAGTCACTTCACATGTCAGAGCAGGTACCGTAAGGTTTAATAAGGTGGAAGTGGGGATCACGTTCAGGTGTGAAAGGTGTAAGAAAAAGGAGGGGAGGAATGTGCGTTTTACCCGGCCTTGCTGCAAAATATTCAGAGCCACTGCAGAGACAGTTCAGGGTCTAACTCACCTACTGTGTATGTAAGTGTTAAATTTTGGAGCTTAAGAGGAACGAGTACTTGTTCTGACGGCATCGGGTATCACATATCTCTGGTGTTTTTTTGTGCTTGCTCATGGTTGAGGATTTATAAACATAAAACCTCAGGGCAGGGCCTCGGCTAACGGTGTACTGGTGCTAAACATCTGTTTAAAAATGCACATACATTTTCAGTGACTGATTTTTCATTGCCTGTTGAAGTATAATGTATTCTGAACAGTTTTGTTTTGTGCCATGAGGGCAAAATTGTCCATCATTTCCTTGGAAATAATAGAAAATGGAAGTAGAAAAAGGAAAAGAGTGAAATGCTGTGAGCCAGGAAAATCAAAGTCATTTCGAGAGACGAACAGGAAAAAAAAAAAACTAACCTAAAGGGAATTAAGGACACTTATTTAAAAGGAAGGTATTGGTTGTTAGATAAGAAAACACGAACAAGAAGGCAGACAGACATTTTATGAAACATATTGTCCAGATATTTTTGTTTCTCATTTCTCTGTTACTCCAGAGGAAAGTGGCAAAGATAAAACTGAAACGATAGAGGAGAAAGGATAGAGAGAGCAAGATCCAGACATATTACCAGAAAAAAACCCTCTCAAAAATAAACATTCTTTAAACAACAAAGTGCAAGGATAAAGGGTAAAAATGTTTTCACTATGCGTGTGTTTGTGTCTGTGGTGCTAACGACCTAAATTGCAAGGAAAAAATAAATAAATAAAACTCTCCTCAGTGTCTAATGGACACTGAGCGTCACCAAAGTTGCAGATTTTTGGTGATGCTGCAAAGAACTAACAGTTGGAAGCTAAAAATTAAAAGAGCTGAAACCTTGGAGAGTTTTAAAGTGGATTTTGGTGATTATAATGCACACACATCTGTCTCTCCTTATGTATGCATAATCAATGCATGTATCACGTGGAGACATTTCATTTCATTAACTTAAAGTTATTTTGTGATGAGGCTTCCAGAAATCGTCTGCTGCACTCGCAGTTCATGCATCTGTAGTTACTTTTAAGCAGGATAGTCAATAGAATAGAGCAGAATAAAATAAAATAGAATACAGCATGCATGTAAACAAAAATGAAAATAGAATTAAAGTAGCTGAGAAAGTTACTCAGAAAAAGAAAAGGAAGAAGACAAGCAATAAGGGATGACACTGCTACTTTTAAGTATTTAAATATGTTTTAAATCATTTGGTGTGACTTGTGAAATACATATAAAGTCAAATATGCATTAATAGTTCTTAAAATGTCTATGTACTTTGTAATAAACTCACATAAACAAGTCATAAGGAATACAAATCATTTTCACAGGTTTCACTTTAAGGAAAATACGATGGTGCAGAAATGTTAGGCAAGTCCTGCTCACCATTATCAAGTACTTTAAAAATATGTACATTTAAAAAAGACTTTTCGTCAGAAGTGAGAGGAAGTGATAAAAATGGCTGGTGCTTTTGACTCTGTTGAACATTGAGTAATGCAATGCTGCCCCTCCCCTACCTAATGCTTCATACGGACAGTCAGCTGAATAAAACAAGGCTTTTACAAAACACTTTTCCCTAATTTATCAAATTAACAAATTGAACTATAAGGCAGCTCTGTTATAAAGCTCCACCTGGTTGGCATGTATGTTGTGGTTTAGTCAAGGTTAAAGTTTATCATGCAGCGAGAATCTCAGTTTGACCTGCGACCGGTAATTATACATCATGTTCAGCAAAATGGCGCACTGTATACATTAAGGATAAAGGAATACACATTCTTTCATTTTTAACAATCTTCATTGAACAAAAATGAAGGTGACGAGGAAGTTATATTATATTATATTAAATTATGGATTTTTAGAGGGAGATTTTAAGATTTAATTGCGCGACTCTAACTCAACCTCGTGTTTTACCCCTCCAGGATGAACTGAAATGTTTGTTGCACGTTTTCCTGTCCTGCCACGCTCCTTAACTCCAGCTATGTCAGCACGTGGTTCGAGAGGATTAGCATCATGGTGATCCTGCTCAACTGCGTGACGCTTGGCATGTACCAGCCCTGCGAGAACATCGACTGCACCTCGGACCGCTGTCAGATACTCCAGGTGAGGCAGACCTTTGTGTGTGAGTGACGACGTGTAATCACACTGAGGGAGACGTAGAACAAAACATCCAATTACAGAAAACGCACTCTGCTTTTTGTTGACATTCTTCAAGCTGTGATGGAAAAACACACTTCAGATAGATTCCCCCCCCCCCCCCCTGGAATGTTTTTATTTTCTCCATCCTCTGAGGAGGGAACTGGGGCTTTGTTTGTGTTAATAAAGTCTTGCAGAGGGGCGTTCTGCATTTTTTTTTTTTTTTGTCACCTGTTGAGAGGAGGAAGCACTTTTGAGAGAGTGTTTGTGGAGATTCTCAAATGGCACAAGTGGCATTTGAGAACATTCACTTGAGATCCAGATTTACCTGCAGGCTTTTCCTAATCTAATCTAAGCCATTATAATAAACTCCAAAAGTCTGGTAGCATCTGTGCTGAGCGTTAGCTAATCTAAAGCAACAGATTTCCCCATACTCTGTTTTTTGTTTCAACACCTGACACTTCCTATGCTCCGTGGATCCCAGATATTAACAGCTGTAGTGAAATAATGCAGCTGGCTAACTTCTTAATTATAATCGCACACATAATGGAAAACAGTTAATCTCATTCTCATTGTGGCTTTCCTTTTATATTTGCTTCATTATTGCTTGTTTATATGACGATATGGAAAAATTGTTAATGGCAGTTAAAGTAACCAACAGGTTTCTATTGATTCCTATATGACATATATATATATATATATATATATATATATATATATATATATATATATAATAGAGTGCATATTCAAAGTTCTGTCATTATTCTTATTTATTTATTTATTTATTTATTTATTTATTTATTTATTTATTTATTTATTTATTTATTTATTTATTTTCTGATATTCTGCCATTGTATCAGTAAGCCATGTTGGGTTTAGGCGGACAATGTGTTATTGCCAGCTGGCGGCGGAATCAGTGTGTACCTCTGGGATTGTAATTGTTTTTCACTGAAGGCTCAATTTCAGTGGCGACACAGACGACCTAATTCTGCCTCAAATGGGTTTTTTTTATGGAACTAAAAACCTTTCTGCTGTGACCTGCGTCGAAACAGTATTGTTAGTATATTTAGTTTACTCCTCTTGCTCCCATTCCCCCCTCCACCAAACACTGTATTCATGTTTTACTCTGTAACAAGCACACTGCCTCCCCAGATGGGGGTCCTGTTCTGATAGCTGCTTAATGGCAACTGGAAGGATTTTTGTGACGGAGCCGAGATAGTAAACACGGCCCTAAAATGTGTCTCTGGCCTTCTGCAAATTCTGTTAGCCCAGCATGAAGAAGTCACATTTAATTCACAAGGTCTTGATTGAGATATGAACAAGTTAAAGTCAAAGACCTCATCTAGCTGAAAGCCTGGTGGAGGTGTAGTCTTCAGTCAATACGCTTAAATAGGACATGGATTGATGGATCAATTTTCATAATTACTGTGAAAATGATTTACTCTGTGTTGGTGCTACAAGAAAGTCAAATGAACTGTGCAAAGCCACTTTGGGATTTGCAGCAAATGAATTGACCCCGACCACCAGGATAAAAGATCCTTCCTGTTTCCCACAGTTTTTATTTGAGTGACTTTTTAAGGAATTTGTGGCAATATAGGTGAAAGATAATGTTTTTCTTCTTTCTTTCTGGCAGTATAAAGTCATTTCTGAAATAGGGGTGAGATATTTTTTCTTTCTTGCACACTTTATAATCATTTTTCTGATCAGTCTGTTTAAGAAGAAATGTATTTATTTTTTTTATTTCACACCCCCAAGATCACAATAAATCAAATTTTTTCCACCTCTTTTGTAACATTTTCCCTAAATTATGCAACTGGGGTTATAGACTGCATTCTCCACCACACTTTCAGAAGATATACCAAAACTCAAGCAACCAGGTCAAAACAATGATTACATCTTTTTTAATTCTTGAAAATACTTTTTTTGGAAAATAGAGAAAAATAAAAAGTTATTTAAAAAATATCTTAAAAATATCTAATTGTAGAGAACAAAATACCAAATTTACATTTCCTACTTAGGCGAGAGAATTAAAATTTAATTCAAAGCTTAAGTTTTTCTCCAAATTGTTGTTTTGTTTTTTTTTTTACTCTGATTACATTTACTGCATTTTAAGATGCATTAACTTTTCAAATGCCATTTATCTTCTGATTGGATAACTTTTCCAGATATTTCTTTTCTTGCCCCTATATCCCTGTTAGTATTAAGTGAACGTTTATCCTCCGGGTACCTCTGGTAATTTTGTCAGGATCACATCAAGTAAGACGCACACAACATCATTTTTAAATCATTCACCATCACAATCTTGATGACCCACTTACTACGTCCTTTCCTCTTGGCAAATAAGTGGCACAATGACGGCATATAAAGCAGCTTCCACACCAGCTCATACATCAAATCACGAAAGGATCCATCGCAAGACGCCCTCAACCTCTTTACAAATCATGCAGATGATGGAACCTGATAGGGTGACTGAAGGGAACGCCGGCGCCGGTGACAAATAACTATGATGAATTCATTCCCCTTCCTCTCAAAGCAGCAAGGGACGGGAATCTGACTGTTGCATCCACTGTCAGATTACATATGAAGTGTGCAGGCTGCATTATTTATCACAACATCGTTTAAACAGCATGTAGGCCAGACTTCTCGCCTTCCCGATAGGATTCTGCCAGGTCCGAATTACGGCTTGATAATGAGATAATCCATCTCATTGTTTTTTTTTTTTTTTTTTTTCAGCTGTGTTCGCACGCTTGCTTGCCCCCGTGCAGAAAATTTGTGCTGGCTTATATTTGAACTTTAATAAATCCTAAATCTGTATGCCATTCTTACTTGCATGCATGGAAAGGAGCTTATTTACTGTGTGTTCCTCCACAAGAAAAAGGATTTTTCAAAAGTTGCACTGTGGATAAATGCTGAGAATTTAAGTTTGTTTACAGAAGCAAACTTTTCTTTTCTTTTTTTTTTCCTTTTCTTTTGCTGTTTATCATTACAGAATGGATATGAGTGTCAATGTATGTTCCTCTTTTCTAGCCTTTTTCAACTCCATGTCTCACACCAACTAAAACAGCACTTCATTAAAATCTTCGGAAATTTGATTTCTTCGCGCAGTCTTGCCAAATATATCATCGATTTATATGCTTTATGTGTCAAACTCGAGGCTTGTGGGCCAAATGTGGCCCGCTGTAGCTTCTTATGTGGCCCTATAGATTCCAGACTAAACACTAAGTGTGATTAAATATTATATTACTCAATCAAATCAATGCAGTTTTTATCAGTTTACTGCAAAATTATATCAATCAGTACCTCCAGTTTCTTGAGAATTATTGTGGAAATTTATGCAAAATCAACAAATCCCTGCACTTTTTTTGCGCCAATACATAATTGGGAGTTTATTGCAGATTTTTCTCAAAAATTGTCAAAAACTTTCTTACCTGTACTAGGCAGCTGCCTCAGCTTTAACTGATGTCAGATTATAGTCCATAATCTAAACAGCGAGTAATAAAAAGTCGCAATTACCATCATAAATAAGCCCAAATATTTACAAATTTGTTCCACAAATACTTTGATTTTTATTGCAAAAAACATCACAAAAAGAATCAAGAAATCTTAGAGGAACTGAAAAGATGTTCAACAATATTATTTAATTTTAAGGATTCATTGATCCTTAAAAAAAATTCATTGATATGTTAACAATTTGTGAACAAGTTTTGTGAATACATTCTGGCACAACTGGCCCTTTAAGAGCATTCATGGTCTGGATTTGGCCCAAAACCAAAATGAGTTTGACATCCCTGCTTTATAGAGTCAAAATGTTTCCTCACAGTTTGCACAAAACTTCCACCGGACAGTCATAAAAGTTAATTGTCTATAGGTAGCAGCAGATCCAGGTCCTGCAGCATAGCACGACTTGGTAGCAGCAGTGGAAATGTATCCATAATATATGGTCGTCACACAGCAGCGTGACTGGTCATCCAAGAATCTGAAGTGGAACTGGACACAATATGCCAAGAATGCAACCTGTGAGTGGGAAGTTCTCCATGTAATTTGCTGCAACACCTTTGCAGCACCGGTCCTATGCTCACGGCGTTTTTCCACTGCTCTGGCTGTAACAAAACGAATCTCGTGGAGTAGCTGCCACTGGCAGTCCGCAGTCTTCACGTCAGTAAACTCAGTGATCAGGCCCCCTTGCTCTTAGTGATCCGTGTATTCATTTGACGCATCAGACTCCCGAAAGCAAAACCATCTTCAAATTTAAGGAGACTGGAGACAGCTTCAAGATTTTAACCTGCAATTTAATTGCAAAATATTTTTGTCGTGCAAAATAAGTTGTGGGATTAACCCTGAATGAGGAATGGGGAAGACAAAGAGGACAAGAGGAGAGGAGGGGGTCGTACCTTATCAAAAAAATGTTATGAGGACAAGATGATCTGCAAAAAAACTGATTTTTTTTTTTCTTTCTAGTGCGCATGGTCCTATTGTGCACTATTCTACACTCAGCCGAAATCAGTAAATTGTGAGGAAACAACTTACTAGGTTACCTGTGTTGTCAACATTGTGGTTGGACAATCAGTAACAAAACTATTGGAGTACTGTGGTCCCTGGATGCCTGTATTGGCTCTGTGCAGAGAGGGTATTAACTGGCTTTTGGTAAAATAATAGGCAGTAAGAGATGAAAAGGAGCATCCAAGATCTGGAAAAATAGCTGAGTTAGTTTCCAAAATGATATATGGTGCATGTGTGACCACAGAGCAGCAAACTTTCATATGTACTATTGACCCAGAGCTGCTGTGTACATGGATTTTTGTGAGTCATGTGCTGCCATCAAGTTAAGTTCTTATGTGGTCACACAGTTATTACAGTGAGGATTTATACATCCTAAAGAGACAAATCAAAGAATGGCTGAAATGTTGTGTTCAAAAAGGAAGAACTGTGTTCTATTCCTGTTTTTACAAAACTCTGAAATCTCTCTGCTTCCCCTCTTAGTGATATTGATTTAGATAGATAGATAGATAGATAGATAGATAGATAGATAGATAGATAGATAGATAGATAGATAGATAGATAGATAGATAGATAGATAGATAGATAG